TCCTTCAGTGCCGCCAAAGACCCGGAGCGAGTGAAGGACCCGCCGCCAAAGACCTGGAGCGCCGCCGGGTGAGTAAAAATTAAAAAGGTGCCTCTAGCCAGGGAAGGGATTCTCTGGCATTTGCCCCCCACTCTGGGCGTCCCTGCCACTGGGCACGGGGCCCTCTTAGGCGCGGGGCCCGATTCGGGGGAATTTGTGGAATTGGCCTAAAGCCGGCCCTGGCTGTGAGAACTGAAACTCTCCCTCTCTGAAGTGCCCCACACCACACAGACCCCAGTCAGGGTACGGAAGACACAGAGATACCAAGTTGTCACACCGGGAAAACAAGAGAGAGGCCGTGGGGAACTGCAGCCACTCAGCGTCACAAGCTGGAAGGTGGGTGTCCCAGCACCTGTCCACAAATGGGGTGAACTCCCCCACTAGCTCCACTGCAGCCCCCCTCCCCAGCCCTGTGCTGGCACCAGGAGAGAAACCTCCAACACTTCTCCCCAGCCCTGGGACAGCCCCCCCACTCCGCCCCAGCCCCGGGCTGGCACCGGAAGAGAAACCCCCCCCTCTCCAGCCCCGGGCTGGCACCGGGAGAGAGCCCCCCCCCAGCCTCCACACAGTGGATTCTGCTCATAGGCAGTAGGATAATTGCCAGGCTCACTCAGGGGGTGGCTCCCAGTGGAGAGGATGAGCGTTGTGTGCCCCCTCCCCCAGCGGTTGAGAGACCAGCAGGTTCCTCGGGCAGGGGCCACCCTTTCTGTGGGGATCTCTCAGCTGTGGTGCTCCTGCAGCCCAGCTACCCCCCCTCCTTCTGCCCACCAGACACAAGAGGCTGTGGGGAGCCCAGCTCAGGGCCAATATTGGTTCCCAGGCAGGCTCTCTGTGGGACCAGCCACTTCTCTCGGGGCTCAGCACACAGGCGTGTCTTGAGAGCGCCCTACCCAGAGCCTTGCCTAACACTTCCAGTGCTGCCATTAAGCCATACAATGCCACACCCTTCCTGGTCTGTCTCCTCAGGGAGTGCAAAGGGTGATTCCCAACCGCTGGGCCACGCACCCCTCCTGCCATGTCAGGCTTTGGGGGGGGGGGACTTGCTCTCCAGGCTCCCTCCCCAACCTCCAGAGAACGGTGGGGGTGGGGCACACCTGCCACTCGACTCACAGCCAGCTGTGCCCGCTCGAACCTGCCAGGGGTCAAGCTGCTCCACAGCCCAGTCTCAGAGGGGCAGCCCATGCTCCCTGGTGGTGCAGAATGTCTCCAACTCAATGGGAGATTGTAGGGCTGCTGGCCTGTCTCCCCAGCCCCCAGAGGACTAACACCTCTCCCACAGGCTGTCTCAGGGCAGGATTTTAATTCAAACAAAAACCTCACAAAGTAACACAAAACAAAGCTCTTACCCTGAGCAGCCCTGGCTGCAGAGGTCTTTCCTCTGCCCCTGCCCCCTTTGCTCCAGGGCAGGGCACCAGCAGCTCTCTCCGACCTTTCTGGAACACACCTGACCCCTTCCCAGCTGGGTCTGATAATGGAACAGGGCTGGCTGGCCCCAGGCCCCCAGCCCCTTAAAGGGGCAGAGCACCCCGTTTCGGGGATGGTGAGGACTGGCTGCTACAGCCAAGGTCTTCATCTGGGAAACTAGTACAGCTGCATGAAGAGATGGGGAACCACTTGGTGGGGGGCTCAGCTCCCTCCCTTAGAACGTCCCTCTTTGGCCCCAGCGGTGAACGGGTTGATCCCTGCACACTCTGTTCTGGCACGTTACTGCCACAACCTCAACACTCCCCCGAGCTACTGCACAGGGATGCTTGTCTCTGGTGCTTGATGTCATGCCCAGAATCCCCCCCCCCCACACACACACACTTCCACGGGACAGGGTTCCCAAGCTCTTACGAGTGCTAGTGGCGGGATTGGAATAAGAGACGTGCTCCCGTTGGCATGTGTAGAACGCCTCCCCCTCCCCCTTCCAAAGGCTGGACGGTGGATTGGACTGATAGAATCGAAGGCATCTTCCTAGATGTGTCTGGCACTGGAGCCTTCCAAGATCTGTCACCCCCACGTAAGTATTTCTAAGGAGATTGTTCCAAATAACTCCTCAGGAAGGACCGGTGGTTGTTTTGCTGCTTTAATTTGATAAAAAATATAAATAAATAAACCAGGACGTTAAAAGAGGATGAAACCCAAACCCAAAGGCTGCTGGTGCCTTGTCCTACTGAAGTCCAGGTGGGCTTGGGTGCGGAAGGAGATGTGTCTCAAGAAAAAAAAATCCAACATGAGCAGATGGTCAGTCACGGACGTTTGACTGGCAGACAAAACAACCGACAGAGTCTGACATCCAAAGTCTCGACATGAGTTTCCAAGAGGAGGAGGCTGTCCTGTCCTTCTTGGGTATTGCAGAAGCTTTGAGAAAAAGCTACTTGTTGCGTGTGGCATGTCACAACACACGCGCTCCGGACTCCGGGAGCAGGGGGTGGAATCACAAGCAGTCCCTGCACAGAGCCACTTGTCCTTTCCGGTAATCGCGACATGGGCAGAGGCGCCGGTACTTGGTGCTGTAGCCTGCGCAGCTGTACAGCAGCGGTTCCTTCTGGAGGTAGCACTCCTGCACATTTTCAGCCAGTGCTGGGTAGAGGTGGCTCATCTCAGACTCCGCGCTGTCACAGGCAATGCGAAGCCTGGGAAACAAATACCCCAAATTGAATTTTGCTGTGTCCATCTCTGCACCTGCTCGTCAGTGGGTTTCACGTTGGATCAGAATATGAGTTTAGGGAGGGCTGCTACATCTCTGGGGGAGATTTCAACACTGTTCTGTTTATAGAACATCCCTGCTTCAAACATCACTGCAGACCTGTCCCTTGCCCACAAGAACACTAATAAGCTTAAGTGACGTATGATTCGCATAGTAAGTGCTTGGAAACTACATGTGACTACCTGAGCAACCTGAGATCTGTGTGACCCATGCAGCCCAGACGTGAAACCTGTGAGATCACCCCAACCTATGTGTGCAATCCGCATGACCCAACCAAACCGCACATGGAATCCAAGTGACTGGCACAAGGACACATAATAGGCTCTCTGGGCCACACTGCACTTTCAGAGGGCCACGTGTGGCTCCCACTGATTTCAATGGGAGCTGCTCCCATGCATCTGAGAGATTCTAGGCACTAGTGTGACACACATGAGGCGCATGTATCAGATCCACGTGTGGGTTATTGTGAGAGGAGATTGGCCACAGGACAGGGATGTGCCAGTGGGATGGGACACCCCCCCATCCTGCTGACAGCAAGCTAACAACAGTCTCTGCACTCAGGCAGTGCTGAGTAGGCGCACCTGCAGAGCATGCCCTACCTGGAGAAAGGCAGCTTAACAAGTGAAGCTGGCCATAGAGCAGCAGGTGAGTTTCCCAAGAGGAGAGGCTGATAGAGACAGCTAGGCAGCCCAGTAGCCACGGGAGCCGCACCTGGCTAGTGACTTGTGCTCGCTTTCCCCCCTGCCTTGTTTAGGGCAGACAGACATTGCAGCCCTGAGTGGTGCTCTGGACGTCTGTTCTTCTCTGGTCCAGCTACAGGACACTGACGGAGCCGCACCAGGGACTGGAGGTAACTGGACTCAGAAAGGACCCTGGGAGTGAGCTCACCACCCCTGGGGAACCACGAGCTTAACCAGGAGGGGAGGTTCCAGAGGGGACTCAGGGGCAAGAAACACAAAGAGACAATGGCCAAACCCAGGCTGAGAGCTTCTTGGAGTAGCACTAGAGGGAGAAATGGACTGGATGGGAAGTGAGATTGTCTTGCTTCCTCCAATCTGTAGGTAGAGCTAGAATGCTGGGGTCTCCTCTGGTCAGCAGCAGAATGCCCCTGGGTATCTCTGCGTGCCCAATGGCTCTGCCTAATAAACTCCGAGCTGAACTACTGACTCTGAATGAGCGATTTCATTCTGAAGGGGGGCGGGACGGAGCGGAGTGAGTGGAATCTGCGCTCCTGCTCTAATTTATCATATAAAAATGTCACTAGGACTCAAATTGCCTGCCTGACTGGCGTGACAGAAATGGCAATGCTTGCATTTTAATTGTCCACCACACAGCATGGAATCGGGAGGCAGATTTATGCTCTATTAAAAACTTCACAGCCTGTGTGTTCAAAATGGAGTGTTATAGAGAAAGGTATAAAAGGGGGGGGGGAGGAGAGGGAAAGGTGTCTGAAAACTCCAACATTTGTTTTGAAGCAGAAGCCCATTCGGCACAATTCATGCAAGTGACACAAATAGAGCAGTCTGTGCATGTCGGGTTGTGTGCAAAGGGCACTGCATTAGACCACAGGGAGGTACAGCCAGGGGAGCTGAGTTTGCAAGACTGCAGAAAGTAGCACTGGGAGAACAGAACAACCTCGCCTTTCAGAAGGTCAATGAGGGAGTGTTGCCTAGCAGTTAGAATAAAGGCTTGCGAGACAGGATACCTGGGTTCTGTTTTTGGCTCTGCTACTGGCTCGGTGTGCAGCCTGGGGTGAGCTATGTGGGGTCAGATTCTCCAAGGAGCTCAGCGCCTGGCTGCTTCCATTGTGACATCTAGGGCAAGAATCTCCAAGGAGCTCAGCACCCACCACACCCACCACATGCTGAGCACTCTCAGAACTCAGGTGAGCCATGTCTGCCCAGTGTGGCACTCTGTCCCCTTCTAGTGCTGACCAGGCCAACTAGCACTTGATGAGCCTGCTATGGTCTCGGCTAAGAAAGGGGCAGCTTTTAGCTCAGACAGTACAGGCTCATGTATAAAGATCCCGAGGTCCCAGGTTTGATCCGTGCTGCCGACAACCCATCCAAGGGGTCAGCATTATGCTTAAATTGGAGATGAGCCTGAGTGAGGAAGCTGATCTTTTCTGACTGTTCTGGCCTTAAGTCCTAATTTTCAGAGATGCTTAGCACCCACGGCTGTCACTGATGTTAGCTGGCCCTGGCCTGTGCAGCTCTGCCAATCAGACCTTTAACCTCTCTGTGCCTCAGTTTACCCATCTGTAATACAGGGATAATAATGTTGCCTTACGATAGAGGAGTGCTATGAGGCATAAGGAAAGCATTGTAGGGGCCCTTACATAGGGGTGCTATAGCAGGGCAATGGATTATTATCACCCCATCATGCAGGGGGGCAAGGTAAAGGTGCGAGAGCCATACTCACTGGAGAAACACGTCCTTCTTGTTGAGAAACTCGAAGAATGTCGGCTCGCAGACCAGCCTGTGCTCCTGACAGGTCTCAGTGCAGGCTTGCCCGGCCTCAGACACCCACACCTGCATGGAGCTCACGGGAGGCCAGACATGGGGGGCGCTGCTGGCGTTGTACGACCACACAAGGTGAGTGGCGTTGGGCGACAGGGTGAATAGGCTTGGAGAGCTTGGCATAGCATGGCCGTTGGGCTTCACTGGCAGAGGAGGAGAAGCTCCAGCACAGAAATCCTAGCAGGGCAGAAAAGGTCAGGTCAGAGAGTGCCCCGCGGGATGGAAACGGTTAAACATCAGGCCGGTCTGAAGGGAAACACTTTCTAGGTTGCAGCCGGGGCTAGCTCTGCTGCCTTGAGCTCACCAGCTAGAAGGGAACACCCGAGGGCCTCCCCAGGCAGTAGCTAGGGCTGCAGAATATATATGATTCAGACTCCATTACTGACTCCTGCCCTGACCTGGTGAACCTTCCCCGCAGCAGAGAGATCAAAGGGCTCTTCCCACACTGCCGAGCTTTGCCAGCGAAGAATCTCGGATCAGAGGCTGGTTCTGCTCTGGCTCTCCCAGGTTCCAGTGCAGCCTCTCGCTAGGAGCCAGCTTACAGGGGGCCCAAGGAGCCCATGCAGCAAGGAAGAATGTTCCCTGGGGAGCCCAGCCCAGCCCCTAGGGATTTGCTCTGATAGACACCCACAGCCCTGCTTAGGATCTGGAGCTAAACTAGGGTCCCAGAGATGAGCAGCCCCCTATTTCCCCTGGTTTTTGGGTGGCAGGGCTCCATACAGAGCATCTCTCTCCTTGTCACCAGGATGTACTGATAACTGCAAAGGAACATATCCCTGCAGATACGGAGCGACTCCTCCCTCATCTCAGCCCAGACAAGCGGTGTGCAGGGCTGCTAAGGTACCACAACTACAAGCACCACCTCGCTTCCCAGCGTCTGTTCAGGAAAGTCCCAAAGCTGCAGTTGGTGGGTTCCACCAGAGGATTAGGTAGAAGCATCCATGGCTCCTGCCAGTACCGTGCCGGGCTCCAGCCAGAGCCACTGGTCCTTGACTTTCATGAGTCCTAAATCCCCTCTCAGATTCAGACAGACACCAGTAGTCCCCAGGGCTGTGGGCCCTGTCACTGGCTAGCTGGCTGTGTCCTGAGCCACCAGCGAATACGTATGCCTGACAGCTACGGTTGCCAGGTGTCTGGTTTTCGACTGGAATGCCCAGTCGAAAAGGGACCCTGGCGGCTCCGGTCAGCACCGCTGACCGGGCTGCTAAAAGTCCAGTTCGTGGCATAGCAGGGCTAAGGCAGGCTCCCTGCCTGCCCTGGCTCTGTGTGGCTCTTGGAAGCAGCGACCTGTCCCTCCAACTCCGGGGCAGCCAGGGGGCTCCGCGTGCTTCCCCCGCCCCAAGTGCCGGCTCCACAGTTCCCATTGTTTGGGAACCATGGCCAATGGGAGCTGCAGGGGCAGCGCCTGTGGGCAGAGGCAGTGTGCAGAGACACCTGGCCACACCTCCACCTAGGAGCCAGAGGGACATGTCACTGCTTCCAGGAGCCGCCTGAGGTGAGTGTCGCCCGGAGTCTGTATCCTGAACCCCCTCTCTCTCCCCCAGCCCCGAGCCCCCTCCTGCACCCAAACTCCCGCCTGGAGCCCACACCCTGAACTGCCTCCTGCACCCCCACTCCCTGCCCCAGCCTGGAGCCCCCTCCCACACAAACCCCTCATTTTTGGCCCACCCCAAGCCCGCACCCTCAGCCAGAACCCTCATCCATTCCCACACCCCAACCCTCTGCCCCAGCCCGGTGAAAATGAGCAAGGGTGAGGGACAGCGAGCGAAGGAGGGAGGGGGGATGGAGTGAGCAGGGGCGGGGCCTCAGATAAGGGGTGGGGAAGGGGCGGGGTCTCATGGAAGGGGTGGGG